TTAAGGAAAACAGTAATGGGTGACACGAAAGCCTAGTTTTTCACGACATTAAATTAGCATTTCAATATATTGTGTATTTGGGAAGGTTCATATTTATTTTCCTTTCTTCAGCAGGAAATTAATCATCATCGTTGTCGCCAATGTCATCACGACATCTGCACTTAAGAATGGAACTCCTTGTTTCTGCGTCGATCCGCTATATCACCCTCACCATGCACCGTCGTCGAAGTCAAGTGAAAACATGTCTAACTCAAGTGAAAAACACTAGTATTAACCTTATGTCATGTACTTTATCTCAAGTGAAGTCATGTCTAGTTTATATGAAATACACATTCACTTTGGTGATGTAAATATAGGAACGTTCACTTTATGTGAACGTGATATCATTTGCAGGACAATCGCAAGAAATTGACTTTGTTTGCAAAAAATTGATATAGTGATTGCTTGAACATGCTGCTTGGGCAATTTTGCTTTTTCTTCCTTGCTCATTCCTGCCGAATGGATTTCGCCGTTCACTGCCTAAGTCAGCTTCGAAAGGACGAGAGAAGAAGCATGGAACTCACCAGAGAGACCGAGGTGTCCGTCGCCTGACACGAAGACTTCCACGATCGGACGGAAAACCTCCTCTGCCACTTCCGTGATCAAATTATTCGATAAGGAAATGCGGCTGTTGCTTCTGTGACCTGGAAAGGATACGCACTCGTGTGAAGAGTAACTTAATTCTAAGGTATAGAAGCAAGTTTAATTTGCACTTTAGGCAAATATATTCGCGAAATTTCAACATTCCATGTTAGTCTTTGTAAATGAAACGAAAACCATTCCTTAGAATTGTTCAAGAAATCGTGAAATAAGTGTTTCTAAGAAACAAGAAACTTGGTAAACTTGAGGCTGCGGGGTGGCAACGGGATAACTGGGATAACTTCGCCTAGAAGTTCTCAATAGTGCAGATTATTAGCCAAAATTTCATTATAATCGAAGAAACACTTATTCTGTAGCGTGTTCATTTGACGTGGAATTACTCCATAGGCCACCCAAAGGAATCTAATAGGGTTTTCAAATATAAAAAAAAAACTTATTATAATATAGGATTTCTAATATAACCCCATAGGTTTCCCGTGGGATCCTTTGGGATCCCATAGGTCCGCTAATAATTAGTATTTAGCCCCAATTAATTATTTCCTGCAAACGCCTTCCCCTCAGCGCCAAAATAAACCAGAGATGGCTTCTCCTTCCAAGGCCACGATGCCGTTTCCCGAGAGAGTCACATCCTTCAAGGCTTGGCTGTGGAAAACGAGTTTGCCGGATGGAAGAGTCGGTCCGAGCTGGCAGCCCGCGCAGCTGAAAGACTCCAAACTTTCGAGGCTGGTAAGAAATCCATCGGGCAGCTCTGCCACGGGACTATTAACTGCAAGGAAGCGAAAGAGGCTCGTCAGTGAGAGAAGTGACCCAGTCTCATTTTTAAAGGACACAATACTGCACTAATGGTTTAGACCTTTTCCGCCACGAATCGAAAACGTCTCAGCAAAGTTGATTCTGAATAAGAACGGAAATAAGGTAGGAGTGGACTCACTCAAATAAAAAATCCTCAAACTGGGGAGGAACCATTCGCCTTCGAGAGCAGAAATGCGGTTATAGGAGAGATCCAGATGCTCGAGCGTTGGGCTCTGCAGCCCCGGTATCGTCATGAGGTCGTTGCCCTCGAGACCGACAACCTTGAGAGCAACCATCTGGGGGAGAACGTCCCAGGGGAAGTCCTCGAGGGAACAATATACGCACGTGGCTAATTCCAGACTGTCTTTCGATGCGAGAAGGACCGACTCGTGGACGGCGGTCAGGTTGGAAGCGCCCGTGATTGTTATGGATTCGAAGGTGACGTCTCCAAAGATGCCCTCTGATAGTTCCGTTACCGCGCGGTTATACCACATATTAAAGCCTCTGAAAAGAAGAATGAAAAAAATTATATCGTTTGTCTCGCTCGTTAACTTGCTGTCTGGTCGCCATCACACCCAAAAGAGAGCAAAACTCACGTGAGCTTCGAGAGCCAGGGGACGTCGTTGAAGATGGAGAAGATTTCGCTCGTCGTCGCCGAGGAGCAATCCACGTGGATGTCATTCTCGTTCCATTCCGTGTAGTGGTCGCAGGTGCAAGGGGAGATGTCCTCTGGATCGGGGCAGGGGAATTGCCCCGATACCCAAGGAACGAACGAGGTGAAGGGGGAGAAAAAGAGGAGGACGATCAGCCCCTGCATGGTTCGAGTGGTCTAATAGGCACGGGGAGGTTGGATGCGAAGGGCTGAGTCTTCCCAACGCAGGGAACGCCGCGTTATATATCGAGACGTTCCCGGATGGGAACGAGTGCATGTGACGCAGGTTATGCTTGGAATTGCATCATAAATCTTTTCAACGCGGATATTCCCCTGTGACTGGACATGTGGTTGCAGGTACCGCCGCGAAAATTATCAGTTTTAAGGGATCGATCCACGTCCACCGGTCTAGACGTTGTGACTGCGCCGACTGGGACTGTACTCCAAGAAAATATTTCGTAATTGAGGCTATGAAAAGCCATTAAATATGACATTTCTGCAATCTAAAACGGTATTTTAGATTTGCCACATTGAAGTTAAGGCGGAAAGGCATGGAATTTCTTAGTATTTGGCAAATTTCGAAATCTACCTAAAGCGGAAGTTTGTTAATTGCTCATTTTGAATTTTGAAGGCATAATTTTAAAATTATTTAATTTCATTTCACCTTAAGGGAAAATTATAATTTTAATTTATTTTAGAAAATTCGCATTTTCAACCGAAAAAATTCAAAGCATGCTTGGAACTAGTCCAACTGTAGGGTACCTTTCATGCGCAATGAAGACAACTTAGAAATGCTTACTTTTAGTTTCTGCATCGTTTCAAAAACTTATGCGAAAGTTCAAAATGGCATCCGATTTGACTAGATTTGGCCTCCCAATATCTTTCCGTTCATTCCAGGTGCAAGTTTGATTCGATATGGATCGATTCATAGATCATTTATTTATCGATTTGTGTCAATCTGGGGTCTCGAAAGACTTTTGAGCCGTGATAGTTTCATTTCGTAAATTCAAATTTCTGAACGCTATATATGTTTATTTCTGGACAGTCCCTAAAGCGTCCTAAGGGCTCTTCCCCATTGACTCCTACGGGATGGGCTACCAGGAATTAGCAGAACGTCGGCGAATCAGGAGCGAAGTGACCCGTAGAGCCTCAAGCAGGCCTCGAGAGCGCATCGGCGAGGCGAGAGGACCAGCACGGCAAAATCATCGGAGCAGAACTCTAAAGCGTCCCGCGGTCACCTCAAAGATGGATCTCCAACCATCCTTCCGCGATGGGTTCCCGCAATCCCATGAAGGCACTGGCGCTGATGGTGTTTCGATTCTGTTGAATGTTCGATTCTGTTGTTCTCGTCGTACGAGAAGACCAGAAGAAACGCTAGTTCGATAGGGCCATAGAAATTGACGGTTTGCAGCAAAATGATCACGAACTCATTGCGGAAGCACTGTATCCCATGCGTGTGTCACGTGGATAAAGGAGGGGGCTGTTGAGGAAGGGCAGCACTGGTGAGTGAAAGCTAACGTGGGTTCAGCGCCAAGCCTCCGGTAAACAAGCGCTTGCATAGGATAATTTCAACTGCGCCAATGCAACCGAATTACCTCATCTGTGGTATTCGGCTTCCTTGCTAGAACGTGTCCACCTTAGACTCGATTGACGGTCCCCGCAATAATTAAACCCGAAGGTAGCTTTAAGAGAAGTTCGACATCTGTCAACATCGGACCCAAAGGATTTTCATGCAGAAAATCATGGCCCAGGGGACAAGTCAAATATTTTTAGCAATCCAAAAATCCTGAACCAAAATCACATTTCAACATGAAAGGGGATTGATCCGATAACCTTTAAAGGATTTCCACCTGCCCAAAACAAACCTTCTGACTGTCTCGCGTCTTAGCAAGATTTAGTGTTACGAATACCTCATCCACTAATGAGTAACTGGCTCCTGTTTCCACAAGAACATGGGGCTAAGTGTTTCAATATGGGAAATGATGTACGCAGCAGATGGGGATAATGGATATTTCAATCCAAGCAAATTCTGTGTATTAAAGGGATTATTGCCTCCTGACTTCAGGAGGCCCTTTCCCACATATGAATAATTTCCAAGAGAATTATGCCGACTAGCAAAAGTGTGTGGGGCATTGAGAAAACAGCCTGGCTTTTGCAACTCTGCACCCGCCGATACTAGTTTCCCTGGTCATGAATGGAGCTTTGGAAAAGGCACGCGATCTTGGCTTGCTGCAGGAAGCATCGCGTTTTTGGCAAAAGACAGTCGTGTGTCCAACCCTCCCACGTTTCTCGCAAATTTTCCTCTGCAAGGTGCGACACTGCTCTAGACGATACGTGATCTGCTAGAAGCAGAACGGCCCTTAGCTTTATGGCTTCTACTACGCCCACGCCACTCCTCGTCTGAACCTCCGAGGAGACCTGCGAAAGGAATTTTTGCGGGGCCGACTGATATAAATCCTGTACGAGGACAATGAGCCTCTAGTTTCGTCTGAAACCGAACGATATCAGAGGAAAGAGCTGAAGTGCCAGAAGCTGAAGCTTCCTGAACTGCAGATATTGTACGAAACTGTAGGCCAACCAATGGCTCAGAAACACGCAGTTTCTCTGCTGACTCCAAACGCTGCGCATGTGAAAGAGCGCCGTTATCACAGAGGACGGAGTCGCGCATCTTTGTACTAATAACATTACGCTACTTGACGGGAAGGCCATAAATCAATTTCATGACATACCTCGGATCTGCAACAGAGTTGGATGCCTGTCCCATTGCCGCACGATACAACAGCCTCAGGGATTTGTCGTATTCACCAACGGTCTCTCCTTCCCTCATTACCCCGGTTTCATATTAAGCTAGCTTTAGTCTTGGTTCATGGACACTAACCATGCATTTCAATTCTGAACCAACTGAAAGGTTACAGCTATACTGCGGGAATACAATAAGGTCATGCATCACCAAGACCTTCCGATCCGGAGAGATCTGGACCCTGTACCTCCGAACCGCCTCTCGAAGGAAAACGTTGACCGTCGTCCACCACGGTTCTTCATACGACAAAGATGGATCAGGAGAGAGTCTGAACCGCTACTTGCAGTGTCACCGGGAAATAAGGGAGACTAGAGTCACGTAAGGCCGCTTGCAAGACTGAAAAGAAAAGATCGCTGCCACCAGTGTCACGTGGGTAGCTACTATGGCGCTATTGAGGTAACGTGGATGAGTGAAAGCTTGCGTGGGTTCAGCGCCAAGCCTCACGTCAACAAGATCTTGCACCGTGGGAAATGGAAGACAAAAGGGTTTCTATCTGAGAAAGGTTTAACCACATTAGCAATAACATCCTCCAAGTGGGGTCACCAGGATGTTTTAGAGTTCTGATGTCCGGGAAGTGAGGGGAGGCTCCCTGCACTGACGAGAAAGTGAAGAAATGGCGGGCGAAAATAGCACCAAGAATGCTAAGCGAATGCCTCGAGAATGCCCATGGAATACTCCGCGAATGCTCCGGGAGTCCCCCACTATTTATGGGCAAAGCCGGCTGGAGAAAGTAGTCCTCCGGCCCAAGCTGAGGGGGCTGGGACTTTCATCTTCGCCCCATGGCGAGGACGAAAAGGGTGAAAGGGATGAAAGGGGTCATAACTGGGAAAGAAAAGGAATTCCTTCGAGTACACGACACACATCATCTCTTAAAATGGTCATGTGAGACAATATGCCTGCGATTGGCCTAACGTCAAACGTCCTCGACGCGATGTCTCGCAGACCAGGGATTAATCTTACTGGCCTAATTGGCCTCATAGGTCGAGGATTGAGTTTCTTTTGAACGAAAAAAGGTAGGCCTAGGCCTGACCCGAAGACAGTCCGTCGGTTATGCTTAGGCTTAACGTTAGAGAGTTCCGCAGAGAAGGGTTAGGTTGAGGTTGGGATTGAAGAAAGAGAAAGCCTTTGGTTTTCACAAGAAAAAGTACCACATGGCTCCGGTCCCTTCCCCCAGTGTTGCTGGATATCGTGCCGAAGTTATGCAAGATTCATGACTGCTTCGGCCTTCGTATCAGTGTCTGGATCTTCTGTCTTTTTAAATGTATGGGACATTTTTTGGCTGAGTTCATGAGATGAACTGAGAACAAAACTGTGGCTAGCAGTGGCCGATCTCCGTGGTGGGATATGGAGTTATCCTGACAACCCTGAATTAAGAGAATGTATTACAGTGTTTTTCACCTCAGTTAGACAAATTTTCACTTGACTAAGACACCAATGCGAGGAGTATTCAGAGAGGAGGCGAGGGCGCAGGTGCCCCTGGTGACTAGCGACATCTTTCTTTCCTTCGAATATTTAGGATTTTTCATATGCATCAAACTATGTACTGGATACGATGAACCGCATGCATAGCCATGTTGCCAACGGGAGACTGTCATCACGACATCTACACTTAAGTATGGAACTCCTAGTTTCTGCGTCGATCCGCTATATCACCCTCACCATGCACCGTTGTCGAAGTCAAGTGAAAACATGTCTAACTCAAGTGAAAAACACTGTACAAGCTTCATGGAGGCATTCTCTCCTCAGACCGAGTCGAGGTGGTTCGAGGAACTCCAGATAGGCTTAACGCTCCACGTCCGCACTGCTGACTGCAATGGTACTGAAATGGGACTGAAATGGTACGTGAAACTCGAAACAGCCTTCAAATCGGTCTAACGTTGCACCTCCTCAACGAGATGTCTGGAAGACCACGGATTCGCCCTCACAAGCCTAATTGGCCCCATAAGTCGAGAAGTGAGTTTCTATTGAAAGGAAAAAGATAGGCCTTGGCGTGACCCGAATACAGTCCGTTGGTTAAGCCTAGGCCTAACGTACATGAATCTCGTAGAGAAGGCGGGAGAGCTTGAAGAAAGAGAAAGCCCTTGAAAAATGGGTTACACATTACTTCATAGGTGTATGACTTATCAATGACAGCTATTATTCGAACCGGAGGTTAAACATATAGCGTGCGCGATTCTGGCCGCTCGCTAGGCCGAGCGGCAATTGTGCTTTTGTGTGTGTGTGACAGCTCTACAGACTACACACTTAGAGTTATGAACTTGGGATATCGACAGAACTCTTCCTTACCATCCGAGGATATACCTTTTCGAAATTAAATTTGCAAATCGACCATACGAAAGGGAGGGGAGGTAATTTTCATTGGATATCGGAGATTAGCTCTCGTCTCGCCATCTTTCGGATGAACTTGGAAACGAGAGTTGCCGTGGTTCCCAAAAGGGAACGCTGGCATCGCTCACTTCAGTGCCCGCTGCCGTGAATCCAGGAATTTCAAGGGTCCATGATGAAATGCGAGGCG